ACGATAAGATATTGCAAAAGAAAGAGTTGATTGATTATGTCCCACAAAAAAATGTAGTTGTTTGGTATTTGATATTATCCATATCCTTTCTAGTTTATCCACTATTGCTTTTGCATTGAAAAGACATTTGCTGCTGCTTTACTATGCGCATCACGCATTCAAAAAATATTTTCTGAAAAATTTATTTAATAACACAAATATAGTTTTTAAAGAGAAAGAACTTTGTTGAGTGGGTAATGTTTTCCAAAGTCTGTTAAACAATGTGAAAATATTCTGGAATTCTTTATAACTTTTTATCTTACTCATATTGGTCTATAAGCGCAATTTGTTGATAATTTTAAGGTAAGATTTAAAAATGTATGGGCAACCTGGCTGAATTACAGTACATTGTATATACAGTACATTAAAAGCACACAATTTTTATTTGAAATATGTCACACAAAGATTTGTCTGATACTACTTTGAAGATCGTTAAAATATAAGCGGCAAATATTATTTTGAGGACTAACTGACTAGAAATCAGAAGAATAAAAATGATATTAATGTTCTTTCTAAATATTCTTTCGATGGAATTTTAGTAGACTTATGTTATAGGCTGGGTAAGAAATTCGACAAACTATGCATAGCATTTAAAGCGGAAGACTCTGTTGAGATTTTGAGAAAGTGATCGAAATATACAAATTTTTTCTATTGTTAAAGCAACCGACTCAACATAAAATATGTCGGAGATATATATGTTTATATATTTGAAAATATTCTTTTTTTTTTATGTTATATAAATTATATTATATAAATTTATGTTCATCCGACAAATAGTTGTGAAAATATGCGTTTTTCTCAGTACGCTGTTTTCAGAGTTGGAGGGAAATTTCTTCGAAGGAAGGTCGCTTCCTAAGTATATTTGTCGGGTAATGATCCAAAAATTACGATTTCGAATGTTAAGCCACCCTAAAATTCAATGTTTTTTTTCAGGACCGTCTTTTTTTGTTAAAAATCAAAATTTTCATACTATAATAAATTTTTTTGGTTTTTGGATTTGAGGCAATTTTAAGCAGAAAAATCTTCCTAATCATCAGACACTTTCTTTCTGAGGTTCTCTTAGAGATTGGCGATGGAGTCAAGAGAACCCAAATTTTTTGGAATGGATATTAGGATGGAGTTTTAGAGATATACATTGAAAATCTCAAATTACATTCTAAAATTTTTGGAAAAACTGAAAACATTTTATTGCATTGGTCTAACTTGCACTTGGGCTCACTTAATATTTATCCATAGACACTTTTTTCTGATAAAAAATTTCAGGAATAAAATTAAAATTCCCGAAAGTTTTCAATACTCTATATACACAGTTAAAGGCTAAGAAAGTGAACCAAAAGGATTATTCAAACATTTGCTATCACAGGTATATACTGGGTTGTACCCAGTTAGCAAGACAATTGAAGCCAATTTGCATGCATACATAGGCATACTTAAACTTAACCATATGTGTACAAACTTACATAGTTACATATGTAGCAATACATATATATATCTCGTATGTATGTATAGATATAGCTTTTAGTCCGAAGACCTGTTTTTGCCAGCAACACCTACGCACACACACGCACTTAACTACGCACATCCGGTTATCGTTCAATGCTCGTGTATGCACGAGTGTATCTGTGCGGACCACCTAGGTGCTGCTGGTTATACGCCGAACATCGTGCTGCTGTTATTGTTGTCCATTGGCAAAATTTGCATGTGTAATTTGCGGCTGTTGTTTTGTTAATAATGCTCAAGCATAAAACAAAAAGCAGAAAAATATGAATAACGTCTGCTATGCGCTCACTACGTATCTATGTGTGTGTATGTTTGTATATAAGTATGTCTATGTATGCATGTGTACATGCACATGTACTTGAATACATTACATTGAATTGAATGCGTGCGCCACAGTGGTCGAATACCAGCGAGGCACCAGGGCGTATACGCAATTTTGTTGCCAATTTGCTGTCGATTGTTTGCGGTTTTGTGTGCGTTTAATTGGCAATTACATGCATATTGCTGGCCGAAAATTCGAAATAAGATTTTCATACACCATTTCGACTTGCCCGAAGTGGATGCGTTGGGCCAAAGCTTGGCGTTTAATATTTGCTTGGCAACTATTTACAAACATATGATTTTAGTTTGTATATTTGTACTATTATCTACTTGCTGTGTATTTATACATGCGAAAAGCATCTTATTATTCGCCTATAAATTATAACTGCAAGAGCAATATATTGCTTTAAGGCAGATTACAAATTATAACATAGTTGGCTGCTAAAAGAGTTGGATTATTGATTACTTAATAGTAATTGGGAAATATTTGAGCTTGTGTAAATATATGTGGTAATTGAAAATTATGAAATTTTAATTTAAAGAAATGAATAAAGCGATTGCAAAAGAAAATATCTTATTTGCTATGATTTGGAGAAGATTTAAAAAGGATCTCTCCTCCTCTGTAATTCTCTGTCCCATTCTTTGTTTCCTTGTGTCTCTCTGCTCTCGCTCTCTCCCTTTGTCTGTCTACCTATGTATTGTTATAGATCTAGTAAATTAGTTGTGGGCAATATCGGTAAAATGATAAATATTTGTCAAGTCCAACCATCATGTAAGCACTCTTTTCACTGTCTAGGTGCTAAATATTGTAACTTATAGTTCGGGGACCTAGCACCCAGTGATTACTCCTATTCCTGTCTATAGTGAATGAATTTGCTGGTCAAGAGAAGCTTGTGAAAAATGAAGTTTCTATGAGACTAAGTCGTTCTAACTTCAAGAACTACAATATTAGTAGTTTTTTTATTTAAAATGGTTGCATATCACTAGAATAATTTAAAATTGGAAGAGCAGGATAAAAATAGACTACTACAAAATAGTGTTGAGTTTGTGAAGCTGTTGAGCTGTGAAGTTTCATCTCTATCTGTCAACTAACGTTTATTTGACAGATGTTTGTTTACGATGCGAAAAGTTTGTATGGCGATTTTTACCATGAAAAATAGAACAATGAGTCTACTTTATCGCACATAAGCATTTGAGCCACACAAAGCATTTAGTGAAGGTCGTGAAGTCATCGAAAACTTGCTCATGCGTATCGTACCACCGCTGTTAATGATGATAAAATCGAAAAACTTAGAAAAAGTGCTTGAAAATCGTTGTGTTGGCATTAGAGAGATAGTAGAAGATCTCGATATCTCATAATATTGGGTAATAAATATGTCAATGTTAGACTCGCATCAAAACACCTTAACCTTTTGCAAAAACGACGTTGAGTAGAGGTTGGAAAAAAGATGCTCTAGCTGAGCTACATTTATCAAACCCATAATTGCTGGTGACGTGAAGTTGATTTTTGATGACGTTGATGATTGAAACTGTCAAAGAATATAGCAAATGAGCTGAAACCGAAAAACCAAAACTTGCTGAAAGCACTGAAGGCCATCCCAGCCGAGGCTTATGACAAGTGTATAGAAAATTGCATTAAGTGTTGGCATGGTTGCATTGGCTCGGAGGGTACATATTTTGAAGGCGCTAATAAAGTTTTAAAACACGTGAAAAGGTTGTCTTTTTTGTCAGTCCAGGTCAAATTTGATCAAATCGTGCAATATAACAAAATTAACCTCATTTGTCAGTGTAAAAGAAAAAATCGCATTCTCAATGGAACATTTTTTTGAGAATAAAGGTGAAAAGATATTAAAAAAAAGTATTTAAAGAATTAGTCTCTATAAGCAGTTGCCTATCGTTATATTGTACCGGGCGTTTTTTTTTATAAACCTGTGGTTTTTAATGAGTCAGTACGTTTTGGCAATGAGGCTGGTCTTTTTGACAGCTCTTGCTTGATTTGTACTCAATTTGGTTTGTCATTTCATAATAAACAGACCTACTCTGGAACAATTTTTGTAAATAGGTCACAAATAGGATGACCATCGTTCTCATTTTTCACAAGAAAATTTCGTTCAGCGATGAAGCTCACCTTTGGTTAAATTCGTGCGTTAATAAACAAAATTGTCGCTTTTGGAGTGAAGATAATCCACGAGTTATGCCAAAGAGCCAATGAAATAATAAATTCATTGAAAGAAAATTTTAGTAAGCGATTGGCGATCTCACGTCGTGAGGTTCTTGCGTGACCTACAATATCGTAAGTTTTAACGCTGGACTATATTTTGAGGGGTTATGTGAAATCGCTGAAAGAGAATATGCCTCGCGTTATTTCTGACATACGGCCCCAGTTGCTGCAAAAACTGGTCGAAAATTAAATCCCTCAGCTGGAATTTATTCGCGCCAGCCTCAACCGTCACTTGCACTTTTTAAAAAGTAATGGTAAATTTTTATTTTTATAAAACTAAATTGTTAGCCATAACATATATATATTATATGCGTTTTATTGCTTCTTGAAAACTACATGTTTAAAAGAACACCCTTTACTATGTTGTATTGTTTGGAATGCTTTTAATATAATTCTGATGGCAAATATGCTTTCCTAAATGTACTACGCGTGAAATTGAAAAGCTTAAAAAACCAATTTGTTTCATTAAATTTTCAGTATAGTATTCGACATTTTTTCTCTGCAATCTTTCTCACATCTTTTTTTCAAAAAAATATGCGCAAATAGTTATAAATATCCCTTTGGTATAAAACCTGTTGGCATTGCTTGCTTATAACGACAGTTTTTAAATACCGTTAACCTTATTTTTATTATCTCTTTTTTATTTATTTTTTCATAATATATTTATTATCTGTTATATCAAAAGCATCAATAAATTTGAAACGAATTATATTCAAATACCAAATACCACACGCAGCTAAAGCGATTACAAACGGGTTGAAAAAAAAAATAGTAATCAAATAAATAACTATTAAGGGAGACAATTGAAAATTGCAGCTGGAGATTTAAGCCAAAAGAAAATGTTTTGCGAGTGCAGATTAATGCTGAAAGAGGATTTCAATAACTGCCACTAAAAATAAGCGTTTGCACTGTTATATGGTTTTGTTTTTGTTGTTGATTTTTTTTAGAATATGAATGGAAATTGTTTATACCTTGTGGTATGTTTGTATATTTGTTTACCAATATACATATATGTATATGTATGTAAGTATGCTTTATTATCTTGCTGCTTAAATGCCGTTCTTACTTAAATGCTATTTAAATGTTTGTGTATGTGTATGTACATATGTATCGGAAGACTTTATTTAATATAATGATTATAACATATATATGCATTTGATGATATTACGTTACTAATATGTGTGTATGTATCTATATATGTGATTTGAACTTAATTCTTAATAAATATTATATATTAACTAATGCTTACTTCTTATTGTACTTACATATGTGTATGTGTGTGTGTATATATTTGCTCTTAACTGCTAATACGTATAATTCTTGTTCTTTTTGTAATTCATATGTAATTCCGTGGTATTGTTTTTGTTGTTGTTTTTCAAGTCAGTTCACCTGCAATTGAAACAATCATTATTTATCATTAATATTAATTATTCTTTAGTTATTAGTTTGAATATTTTTCGATTGTATTGTTGGCTGCATAAAAGCATATAAAAGCGCTAGTTAATTTAATTTAATTATGGTATATACGGCTCTAGATTTATATATTGATGCAAAATGAATTAGCTATTGTTTGTATATCATTGCTAGTATTTTTTTTTCGATTTTTATTTTTTTTCAAAATCTGCGCATATCAGCCACCGCACTGCGGTCTAGCACATGGTGAGCGTGCACACAAACACATATTTGATTTATGCTTTTTTTCAGCAATTTTTTTCTCGATTTGTGCTCAGCGATCCATCTAAATGTGCGTGCATATGACATTGTCAGCTAATTAAAATCAGTTAATTAATTTAATTATATTTAATAATTTATATTATTCGCATGCGAAGTGCATCATTGTATGCTTGGTTAATTTTTAATGCCGATGTAATAATACTTGGAATGTTTGTGAAAATTATGCGAAATATGCAGGCTTAATGCAGGCATACATATACTTCCACACAAGCATTTCAAGTCGTTCGTCTGGAAAAAGAGCATTCGAGCTTTGTTGTGCTAATAATAATTAATTTTCAGAGAAATCTAGATTGCATTGTAACACATGGGCTGGAAAGTCTCGGACCTAACAGAGAAAACACGGCTTTTTTTTGTAGGCTTTATTCATCAATATAATCTCCATCAAGTGCAACACAATTCTTCCAGGGCCGCTCTTTTATTTCAATGCCACTTTTGTAGAATCATTTGTTTTTTGCCTCAAAATAAGCCTCAGTTTTAGTGATATCCTCTTCATTCGAGCGAAATTTCTTATCGGCGAGCATTTTTTTTAGGGCTGCGAACAACCAACAGACGCTGTAAGTCAAATCTGGAGAATGAGGTGGAAGCGGCAGTAATTCAAAGTGCAATTCATGCATTTTTGTTATTGTTTTGATTGACTTGATACTCGTATGCGGTCGCTTTTTTACAATTGCGGACTTCAAATATTCCAATAACGCTTTATAATAGTCACTATCGATGGGTTTTCCCAATTTTCTTGTAATTCATTCAAGATTTCTTCAAATAACGAATGTTGAATTCATAGCAACATGTTTTTAGCAAATTGCAAGTGTATGAAATTGACTCGGTTACACCCGAACCTATTCTTTTCCTCACTTTTTTAATCATAATGAGCACTGCATATAGCTAAATGAAATCGGTATAGACCGTGAGCTAATCCCCATATTCCGAACATAATCACTTCCAATTCTACGGATATATCAGTATGGTGGAGTATGCTTTTTAAGAAGTCAGTTTCGAAGTTTTTCTTTATAGCTTTAAGAACCACCCTAATGACCATTGTTCAAAATATAAATGGCGCTGTTAGGAAATGTATAATCATGTTGAGTTGCATGCGTTTTTCTGAACTAACAAATCTGAACACTTGACGATTTAAAAGTATATACTTTTCATAATGTAAGTCTTTCAATTCAATAACATTTTATACAAAGTAGTATTTGTAGATACTACAAACTTAAAATCATTCATCGGAGAAAAATGTCCAGATAAAAAGAATCTTCTGCGAACTTGTAACGAGTAACTAGTTTAAGAAGCTATGTGTGGAGTAAATTATGCTCAAGGCCACGTCAGTAGTATACCTAGCGGGTAAATCTTGGAACTGTAATTTGCATCGGTACTATGAACGTGTGTAGGCCTCGGCAGGCGAGTAATGACTAGGAGCTTGATTGCTCAATAATTATAGGCGGGTCATGGTATATTATGGACTGATATGCAATGGTTGTGATAATGACATATTTCTATTCCAATCTTTTATCGCCATATGGCGTAACCCGTTCGCATTCTTACAACGCGAATATAAAGAAAGGCATATATTGGAAAATCAATAGATTTCTTTCTACTAGACCTTATACTTTCATTGTTAGTCTTGGCAGGCCAAGAAGAAATTTATACTTCCATTTTTGATAAAAAAGCGTTCTTGAGTTATGATATATATTCCTGCGGAAAGAGTTCTCTAAATATCTGACTCTGTAAAATGGCTCTAAACTTTAATAAAGCTTTTGACAACCAGGTATGTATTTTATAAAATTTCAATGCGCACCTACTTCTTCTATTTCCTCTTTATTGACTCTGCATCAGCAATCAAAAAGTTAGTTATAGTTTACAGTTTTACTTCGGTAAACCCGAAAGCTCAAGTCGGGCGGCTGAAAATGTTTATAGCCTGAGACTGTAACAGAAAATCAAATGAAATTGTGTTTTAATCGATTGCATACTGGTAATTTTGATGTTAAATATACATCACGCTCTGAGAGGCGTCAATCGAAAACGTTCACGATCGAATAGCGATGGGCCGGCGTGAATTATGGCAAAGCCAGGATTGATGGTTAAGAAGGTTTTACTATATGTTTTGTGGGATTGTCAGAAAATCATCTACTGTGCTGCTTCTATACTACGAAACTCTTGCTTCCGCCCTGTGAATGCGACAATCATCCATCTGAAAGTTGCATTCGCCCAGAAGTGGGCTCCGAGAGGTTGAGAGTTTCTGTATCTGACACCAACTGATTACAACCTGTTCCTCTCTATGGTGAATGATATAGCTGGTGAAAAATACTTCTCTTGAGCTTTTAAGATCGACTGTCTAGTTTTTAGTCAATATGGATGAGGGCTTCTATGAGAGTGACATTATGAAATTATACTTTTAATACACTTGCAACATGTTGCTATAGAGTATAATAGTTTTGTTCACCTAATCGTTGTCTGTATCACCTAAAACTAATCGAGAATGATCATCTGTGCAAGCTGTAACTTGAATAAAAACTAAGATATGATAAGTTAACTTGGTACACGTATTCCTTCGTAAAAACGGGAGGAGGTAATGGGACCACTGCTACGCCCACAAAACACCATTAAACGAATATTGACTGCGGCCACGCCTATTTCTCATTTGACACAATTTTAAATTCTATCTGATTTTTTCACTTTCCAGTATACAAATTAAGCACTAATGAATGAATCAGGCTAAAACTTTGCACGAATGCTGCCTTTATAGGGTGCCATGGGTGCTTATGATCAAAAATTACCAAGTCTTTCTTTCAATGACTTTCGTTATTCTAACAAACTCTATGTTGAATATGTCGGTCAGTGTTTGAGTTACCCTTGTAAAATTGCTTGAAAATAAGTTCTTAAATATATCTGAGCAATGCCAAAAGTTAGTGAAATCCTCTCAGAGCTTTACTGCCCTCAATATACCCTATATAATGATTTCAGACTTCCCAGCTGTCTCTCAACCGTTTAGGTTGGCCAAAATGTGTGATATTTTAATAAATTTAAGTGGAAAAGCTTTCTTAAAAATTATGTGGTTCAGCGCTGAATATGAATGTAATTGGTTAAGAGCTTAATATAATCAATTCCGATCCTCTGGTTGACATTTTGCACATCAACCTCTTCGGTTAAGTTTATGGCAGATAAATCTCACTCGAGGATGATTTTAATATAATTTTCGCTAACGCAAAGTAAAATATAGTTATATAGCTGATTGCATCTATAACCAATAATAAAGCTAATAAGACACAAATTTGATTGTAAACCATTCAGTTTGTTTGAACAATGAATGTAGAATTCTTTGGCAACATTTTTTGAAATAATATTTTGCCAACCCCTGTTGGTATTTCCCTGGAATTGATCCTTGCAAGTTGCAAGAGTATGAAATGATCGGTTGGACTCGAACTTAGCCCTTCTTTACTTGTCAATCTATGTTTTCAAAGAAAATTTTTTATGATAATATTTTCAAAGGAAATTTGCCAAAGACGTAATACTTTCTGCAAAATCGTTGAAGTTTGTCTTATCATATTCTTTAAAAAATAATTTGTGTAACTTCAAACTAATTTCTCTGTAATCAAGTCTGGCATAAACGGTGTAATAAAATATATTTCTATTTAAATTAATAACTAGCAATTGTTTCAAGTTAATACCAAAATCCTTTTAACGCCACAGTGATTAAAGTCTGTTTATACCAAAATAAATGAATAAATACATATATAAATATATAGATGAATGAATGAGTGAATGAATGGAGCTTAATCAATTTTTGTGGATTTGCTGAAATTTTATTTTACGATGTACATTTAGTAAATTCGCGTACCACATATCCTTTCACAGGCACAGACACACAAATCTATACAAATATCACTTTGTATAAATACATTTTGTGAGCGCGCACAAACAAGCAGATTAAGTTTCGCAGCTAGATATAAAAACCAACAACAACAATAACAACCGGAGTGGCAACTGATGCGCACAAAAAGCCACTAAAGGATATCGAAGGACATGCGTGTATGCGCGTGAACAAATGCGACGCTTCAAAGCTATACAGATGTATACGCTGACAAACGGATTGCAGATTACCGCAGACACACTAAAAACAGATGCAAGCTTGTTTGTATATATGGTCGTGTGTATGTGTGTGTGAACGCTTAAATGATTGTGCAAATACAAATGTAAGAGGCGGGTTGGGGGGTGGTGGGTTGCGTATGTGTTGTGATTTCAAGCATATTTGCATGTTCGTTGTACGCTAAGGATGTTCGAGATAAGGACACAGCTGAACGGCGAAAGATAGTGTGGCGAAAGCTATTGGAATAGTTTATTACAGAAAATTTTTCAAGCTCATTTTTCAATTACCCGAAAAATAGTAAACAAACAGAACATCAAATACAAATGCGGGTTAGTGAAGGCAGCAGGGAAGAAAGCGGGTAAAAAGACAGTGAACAAAGTGAGCAACAAGGAAGTGGCGAAGTTGCGCAATTCCAAGGCGAAAGCGAATGAGAATACGAACGCATATGCGAGTGTTTCGGTGATTATGCATGAAATGCAATAATTTTTGGTTGACAAAAATAAACAACGAAAAAAGAAAATGGCAATGAAAAAAACATGAATGAGAAATAACAAATATTTAAGGGATAAGC